GGCCCTCTGCCGCCGCCTCAGCAGCACTAAGGATGTCAGACTGCAGCTCAGGCTTGCTCCCTGCTGGCAAGTGGATATCCCCCGAGGGCTCTCGGGCTGCCAGAGTAATGTCTGACTGCCAGCTTAAGTGATGTCTGACTGCCAATTCCCCAGGGACCGGGCCTAAACCAGCAGGTGGTCACCCCCCAAGGGGTCCCAGACTGCGAGAGGGCACAGGCCAGGCTGAGGGACCCCCGAGTGCACCAATTTTTGTGCCCTGGGCCTCTAGTTCTCCAATAAAAGGAACTAGGGCTCCTTGGGAAATGGTTGACTCTAGGCCTGGGGCAGGAAAAATAAAAAATGAACTGGAGTATCTTTGTAGTACCCAAAAGTAAGTGCTGCTCAAATCTGCATTTTAACTCTTGTTTTTCATAACAGGTGGATTCTGTTAAGTAGAGGGAGACAATCCCATTACAATTAAATTGTCCATGCTTGATTAATAACTGTTGCTGCCTCCCTACTTTACCCTAAATACACAACTCTGCCTTCCCTAATCCCCAAAAGTGCAGAATAAAGAGGGGACACATAAAAGGCGAAAGTAGTTAGGGGTTAGTCACAAAGTCACATCATACCGTGCAAAATTCAAGCTTTTTACCAGTTCATCCAATGCGCGGTTATTTTTCAGGTCTGGCTCTGTGACCGTCTAGAACAGAAAAACAACAGATGGAAAAAAGTCATAAACAATAATTTACTTGTCATGATCTTGTTTTTGAAAATGTGTGACCCATCCTCCTGAGACTTCCCATCCCATTAAGTCTTCCAAGAAAGCTTCAAAATAAAGTTTATTTATCTCACACTAATATGGTATTTAAAAACAGAGTTAGTATCAGCCAACTGGAAGTCTGATAAAAGTTCTACAAAGCATATATACTCTGTACTAAGGTAAAACTTAATATGAATGAGGATGCCAACACTCAGCTTTACCAAACATTTCTCCAGAAGAAAAGATGCTCTCTTAAAAACAAGATTGGTTTTTAGGAATGTAAGAGTAAAATGGTAAATCCAGTAGTCATTTAGCATAAATGGAATACAGTTCATCTCCCTGGTGATACCCTCTTGGCAAAGACAGTGTGCCTGATGTTGTAAAAGCTTAGACTCGAGAAACAAACTATCATTTCTTACATAGGGTTTTTGCATAATAGCTCAGAGAAGTTCAATGGCATCCTTACACCATGAACCCAACAGAACTAGAACCCAAGCCCCTTTAACTAGTCCAAGTGTCCTTGCTGTTAGGCCTTACTGTCTCTTTTACTTCTTTCTTTACTCCTATTAATGTCTACTTTCCCTTTTTACCTACCTTTTCATCTATTTCCACTACTTGAAAAGCTTCAGAAACCACTAACAAAACTAACAACGAATTTCCTAGTGTTGTCCCTGAAGACACTAGGAAAGATGTAAGGGACCAGTTAGGCTGGGTTCAGCCCAATGGCCATGAATCTTTGCCTTCTGCACAAATACTTACACCAGTCACTTGCAAATAATAACCTTACTATCAGATTTCCTATGCAATGTGAGAAATAATAACAAGTGAAAAGCCATAAAAACATGGGTCTTAACATTTTATGAGTGCTACATTCTGGCCTTAAAATTAGTTTTTCCTCCTAAAATACATTTAGGTAAGAAGTCCCCATAAAAACTTGAACAAAGCACAGTTCTCCATATATGTGTTTTAGAGGTCCTTTCTCTAAAAATGTCTTTTTTATAGCTCAATTTAATAATTACACATCTTCCTTTGGGCTTCTGTGTACACATGAAGCAGAAATATTTTCTATGAGCAGCATATCCTATATAATAAAAGGCTAATACGCAAATTGACCGAACGGTGGAATGACCAGTTGCTATGATGTGCACTGACTACCAGGGGGCAGACGCTCAATGCAGGAGCTGCCCCCCAGTGGTCAGTGTGCTCCCACAGCCAACCTACCATGCCAGCCAACTTCCCGCAGCCCCTCTCCAAACTCCTCCCTCTGCCTGGCTGGCCCCTGATAGGCCTCAATCACTGGCCAGATCAAGGGACCCCACCCGTGCACAAATTTGTGCACCAGGCCTCTAGTATCATTATAATATCAAAATTCTAGTACCTCTACTCTACCTATGCACATTTGCAAATGTGATTAAGTAGCATTTTTAGGAGAGAGAAGCATATCAAATAATAATAATAATGAGTCCCTAGAGCATTACAACTCCATAAGCAAAATACATCACTCTCTATATCCTCCATCTGTAAAATGTAGGGAACATACATGTAAGACCTGGACTGGATATTAGAGAATCACTAGAGGCCCGGTGCACAAAATTCATGCACTCCGGGGGAGGGGCGGATTCCTCAGCCCAGCCTGTGCCCTCTCACAGTCCAGAAGCCCCCCTATCAATCACTCCAAAGAGGTAGGCCCTGCCCACTCGGCCAGGGCTCCGCGATGGATCACTTCCACAGAGTAAGGCCTCCCAAACCCGCCACAGCAAGGTAACCTGGGCCTCCCTCTTTGGGGTGATCAATCGTGTCCCGCAGAGGGAGGCCCCATCCACCCGCTACAGCCCGCCGGTCAGTGGCCTGGGCCTCTCTCTGCAGGGCGATCATGCAATAGATCGCACCCGACATAGGGAGGCCCCGCCCACCCACCACAGCCCCCTACTTGGTGGCCTGGGCCTCCCTCTTTGGAGGGAGTTCCCCGATTGATCACCCCGCCGGCCAGTAGCCTGGGCCTCCCTCTGCCTGGCAATCATGGGGCGATGGCCGGGCCCCCAACCAACCACACCCGCCTCGGCTGGCCTGGCGCCAGCCAGTATCATAGCATGGTTGTCAGGATGGTCGTTCTGCTGTTTGGCCGTTTAGTTGATTTGCATATCACACTCTAGATGTCAGATATCTCCACTGACTAACATTCTAACATATAAATTTTGAAATAAGATATATATATACACACAGTTAGGATTTCTACATCCTAACTCTATAAATGATGTCCATTATCCCACATTTAATAAGTACTTTTGTGACTAACACTAAGAAAAGAACAATATATAATGGAAGGTTCTTGACCTCAAAGAGCTAACAAAATAGCCAAGTAATTACAGTGTAATAAGTCCTAACAATTTAAGCAGGAAGTTGACATTAACTAAATTCTTCACACCCAAGGCAGTGTAAAATGATCTCTCTTAAAGAAAAAATAGATATTAATAGAATGGTATCATACTGGTAGACAATGTGCTTTTAGGCCAAGTTCAGCTTAATGAAGGGGCTTCATTTAAAAAAGGACTCAGTTTAGTGAAGGAGGAGGAGACAGTGTGCTTTCAGATACAGATGGCCAATAAATGAATAAGTCATACCAGCCTTAGTAAGAACATTCAGGAGGAAAAACAAAAGAATGAGTTATAAAAATGGGCCAAGTTAAGTTCTTTGGGAAGCAATGGTAAAAGGGGGACTTCTGGTTTCTGGTCTGGCATGTAAGGAGCTCAGAAGTCATAACTCTATCTAACAACAAGAAAAACAACATACAGACTGAAAAATCAACAACTTTTCTTGGATACACCAGAAAAGTGAGGTCACAGGGCAAACTGCTGCCCCCCAAATTGGAGACATCAGGCTGGAAACAGAATCACAACTTACCAGAGTAGAAACCCATACTCAGAAACTTGCATGGGAACCAGAGCTGGGGTAAAACCTGAACTGCAACTGACAAATGGTGTGAACAGTCTGAGTTTAAAAATCCTAAGGCAACACAAATACTGGGGAGCGGGGTGAGAGTGAGGAGGGGCTCACACTTAATGTGTTTTCACTCCAAGAGGTCTACCAGGTTCTCAGTGTGACTATCAGACAAAAACCCCCTAGTCCTTCTGCAGGAGGAGCGGAAAGGTAGTGTTTTGAAATGCACCCGAGCACCTGGTTCTTCTTAACAAGGCCTGCCCTCGAGAAACTATTCTACCAGGGCCTGTTCTGTTAGGGTTTATCAGCGCCCAGCTGACCTGGGGGAAGGGAAACAACCAACTCCAGCTACTTCTGGATGGGGTAAGTTGGAATTGGGGGGTGAGGGAGACCTGAAAAGCATGTGTGAAGTGCAAAGTCCAAGGGCACAGGCTGACCAAAAGGCTGAGACCTAATCACAGGACTACAGAACACACCTCACCACATTACTAAAGGACTCTTTACTGCAGTTCCTTTTACCTAGTACCCCACATCCCACTATTAGGGAAAAGTTATGAGGCATACCAAAAGGCAAAAAAACAGTTTGAAGGAACTGCAAGCATGAGAACCAGTCAAATATGGCAGGGATGTTGGAATTATCAGACCAGGGATGTAAAACAACTATAATATGCAGCTAAGGGCTCTAATGAACAAAGTAGACAACAATCCAGAACAGATGGGTAATATAAGTACATTATCTCCCAAAGTCCCATCTCCAAATACCATCATTTTGGGAATTAGGGCTCCAACATAGGAATTTGGGGGAAACACAATTCAGTCCACACATTGTATTACTTGCCCTCAAAAATCCATGTCCTGCCCTGGAAAACATACATCTCACCAGCACCTAAAGGGGCTGTGAGGATTAACAAAGAAAAGAGCTGGGCAGCTTGCTGCTGCTCCAGAAAACACACAGGACAGTATACAGAGGCTGATCCAGCTCAGTAGCTTCTCCTTTGGGGGAAAAGAAGAGAGGGTAGCATGCACCAATAGTTCAGCTTTTCAATGGGCTGCCTGCGGGATTGGCCTCTGTCTCGCCTGACTTGCAGTGCTGATAGGATGGGGCACACGCCAGATGCCTGGGGCCACTAGGATCAGAAAAGAGCAGAGTAGCTCATTATAGTTCCAGAGGTCCCGTAGTACCACAGATGCAAGAGGAAGCAAGAGATAACAAACTAATGAAAAAAACAACAAAACAACAAAATGTCTTATTGGGAATTTACACTCACAAGTCCAGAGACTATACATCCACAGAAAAGGTTTAAAGACACCCCCAGAATCTCTAGCTGGGCTAACCAATGAAAGTCTTTCCTTAAATGAAGACAGTTTGTAAAATCTGTACTAGGTGGCAACTGAAAAAGTAGTTTTAATTTTTCTTAACTTTAATTAGTTTTAATAAAAATGTAAATAGCCACATATGGCCACATTTAGCTATGGTACTAAACAGTATAGGTCTAAATAGTCCAAGTGAAAACAGATATTGTCCAACTGCATTACAGGGCAAGACCCAAATATATGTTGTCTATAAAAAGCTCAATTTAAACATAAAGAAACACATAGGTTAGAAGTAAAAGATGGTAAAAACTTCATATTCAAGAGGAAATGGTGAAAAAGACCTTCTGAAAACTTCAAGATGGAGCTAAAAATGAGAAATAAATGTATACATATCTTTGGTGTTTAATTAATACTACCTGTAGGAACCCTATTCAGAGTATGCTGGATGTTCAAGGCCACTCTGAGCATGAGAATCTTAATCAAGGTATCCAAGGACTATACACAGGTTCGAGCAAGGCCACAGTAATCTGTATGTACACTGCGCAAGCATGCCCTTCTATAACCCAAAAGACTCAGGTCACTATTTGGAAGGAAGTATCAGGAAGGATGTTACTGACCAGCTCGGTGCGGCTGCTTGGTGAGGCTGCTCCCAGGAAAGGCAATG